AAGTCAGGCAGAAACTGTTGAACATTTCATGTATATTTCAGGGAGCCAAGGAGAGGCAAACAGCAATTCTCCATTTGCTCTGAATGAAGTATCGAATCAAATGTTTAATTTTCAAAAATAGTCATTAGACTCTTGGTTGTTTTGGGTCCTGTATTTGGTTATCATACCTGGATTAGTGCATTAGGCCTTGAAACCCCTGCACTGTGACTGGTTACTACTCAGTAGCTTCAATATACAATATGCATGTATTTTCACGCTGTAAGTAGGGGCAGACTTCTGTAATATTTCATAATAAGGCACACTGTGCAATGCCAAAATTTGGTGCCCCCACATTGATCTTCTCAATTTTGGGCCACTCGGCTCAGCACCCTGTAGAGGGGAACCGCCCACACCGCCCAATATACAGTGTTGCTATAAGAGAGGCAGTGTGGTGTAGTGGTTAAGAGCGGTAGTCTTGTAATCCGGTGAACCGGGTTCGTGTCTCCGCTCCTCCACATGCAGCTGCTGGGTGACCTTGGGCCAGTCACACTTCTCTGAAGTCTCTCAGCCTCACTCACCTCACAGAGTGTTTGTTGTGGGGGAGGAAGGGAAAGGAGAATGTTAGCCGCTTTGAGACTCCTTTGGGTAGTGATAAAGCAGGATATCAAAGCCAAATTCCTCCTCCTCTTCTTCTTCTAGCATTTATGAAAGCTCTTTCTCTACAGTGAAGTGCTATGTTGAATTTTTGTTGTGAAGGTTGTCATTTCAGGCATCTCAGCAATGGCCTTATGCCTACTTGCAGAACATTGCTTCGCTGCTTTGCTGTCACTGCTTCAGGAAACGTATCCTGAATGGGGAACCATTGCTCCACATTGCATTACTTTCAATGGGCTGATCATTCAGAAGTGCATCCCAAAGTAAAGGAGAATGGGCCCAGTTGTTTCGATAAAGGGTATGGGAATATAGGACACTCCTATTACCCATTCATCACTTGTTCACTTTTTCTCTTAGAGAAAAACAAACGAAGAGTGTGGGGTAATGACAATCTTCCTGCTTCTTTGTTTGTTTGTGCGCTCTCCCCCCCCCCCTTTTCTTGTCCCCTCCCCAGGTGTTTCACCTCATTGGCCCCCAAATGGCAAACACGCTTAGAAAATGTCAGCAACAGCTTTTGTCCCCTAATCCTAATTGTGATGCAGAGGCAGGGCAATTTCTGTTGGGATCACAGCTACCACCCCAACAAAAACCTCCCCCACATGACAACCGGTCTTTTAAAAAGCTTCCTTGTGGTTATTTTGGGGTGAAGTCACTGATTAAATGTTGTGCAAAATGTTGGATTCTCCTTCTTACTTTCTTTGTGAAGCTGCTTCTTGCACTTCAGAGTTTATGCTAAATTAGCATCGCAGCAGTGCAGACCTCTCTCTGTTTTTTCTGAACAGTCCAAGTCTCATGGATTATTTGCTTATTTGTTTGATTTCTATACCACCTTTCATCCACAGATCACAGGCCTGTTTACAATATAAAAACTCAAAAATACGTAACAGTAACAAACAAAAGCAATATCCTGCACATACTTAAGTTTAAAAGACCATGGATTATTTAATTAGCCAAAGGCCTGGCATAAGAGGAATGTTTTTGCCTGGAGCCTAAAGAGATGTAAGGAAGGGCCCACATGATCTTGATTCCATAGCACACTAGCATAAACACTGACAACTGAGAAACGCTGGCCTGCGAGTGCTCCAGTTGGAGAACAGCCTTTACTAAAGGTGTCACGGGCTTTGAAGACACTCGAACTCAGGACACAAGGGAGAAACATGCTAAGACACTTGGCAAATCCACACCGTGATCAACTCCCACCTGGAAACCAATGTTTCCACTGTGGAAGGACGTGAGGACCCAGAATTGGCCTCCACAGTCACTTACGGACTCATTGTTAAAACTGTGTTTATGGAAGACAATCTTATTCAGATACAAGTGATTGCCGAAGAAGAAGAAGAAGAAGAAGAAGAAGAAGAAGAAGAAGAAGAAGAAGAAGAAGAAGAAGCAGCAGCAGCAGCAGCAGCAGCAACAGCATGATGCTCTGGAGGAAGCGAGTTGTGACTCCAGCTACTCTATTCAACATCATCAATCAAATTCCGGAAACCTTTGCACACACCAAGAAGCCTCTACCAGTGCACTCACTGATTCCCTCTGCCTGCCCTGCCCTTTCCTGCTTAAAATGTGATCAGACCTAGGCAACAGGGGCAGGATTGTGGGTGGGGAAAGGACTGACAGAGAGAGTCACGCACATAGAAATGTTGGTGCCCCTGGCCCAGCTGTTCTTTGCACTCTTGCTACAGCAGCATATCTGCACAGGGAAGCCTATTTTCAAGTGCAGATTCTGGTCACGGGTTCAGGGTCAATGTATCCAGGGTAAGAGGAAACACAAACAATCCATCCCCACTTTATATGTTCTACACACGCAATAACCCTCTGTGGATATAACTGCATCATCCTGGATTTCTGGCTTCAGCACAGATTGCTGCATAGAATTGGAACAATCTCTTTAATCAAATATTAACTCCACGGTGCCCTGTTGCATTACCAAGGTCTCTTAAATCTATATTTTAAAAAATAATGCTTAAACCAGCTGTTTTTAGGTTCCCTGTGCTTCATATCATATTGTCCTTAAACAAAACTATAACAATTTCTGTTTATCTTGCAGTTTATTGTTGGATACTAGATAGCACCTTTAAGAGGCCCGAAAGGGTGACAGAAATAATGAATGTTGCAATAAAAAATGTTAAAAGGGGAAAAGTCACAAGAAAGTGAACTGAATTTGTTGCAACCCTGAAGAAAACACACTTTGAACAAGATGAAATGAGCTTTGTAGACACAGTCTTGCAATGACATACCAGCACACACAGTGCTATAGAAAAAACATAACACAGGGATTTGGAGAAAACTCATTCTTGCTGGTGCAAGCAATTAAATACAATCATAAACACACCCTGCGCTCCAAGGTAATATCATTTTGTGGTAAGAGCCACATGGCAAATGAACAATCCCATTTTCTTTAGGTCTTCCAAAAGCCTAAAGAAGAAAAGTAAAATTTGAAATCTGGATTTTTCTAAACATGCTGAAAACCACCTTGCGCAACAGAGAAAATGGCTGCAGGTATTGCAATTCTTGAAATAAATTCAGAGCTTTATTAGCTGAAAATAATACTTTTGCAAAGAATACATAACCCTTTCAATATTTTCAGGCAAGATGACATTGTAGTTAATTCGTGTAAGATTTTAGTGGTACAAAATGTTTTTTACAAAGCCTTCTCATTGTGTTTCTATGAAGTGGCATAGTATCAGTCCCTTTTTTCAGATGAAGAATAGAGAGGCTGAAATGAAACTTGTGTACACTGTCCTATGAGACAACACCCTGGCCCTTGACACATATCAATGACATCAACTAATTATTTATATTGCAAATTGAGAATTTTGCAGTTTGCACAGCTGCAAAATCTATGCCCAAAACTACAGTGATTCTTTTGAGAGCACTATTGAAAAGGAACTCAGTTAGGTACCAGTCCTGGACAACCTTGGTTATTGCTCAGAACAAAGAATGGGGATTCAGCCTAGGCTGGATGGGGTATCACTCCCCCTGAATGCACAGGTTTGCAGTTTGGGCATGCTCCTGGACTCAGCCCTGAGCATGGATGGATGGCCAGGTCTCTGCAACGGCCAGGAGTGCATTTGCACAGTTAAAGCTAGTGTGCTAGCTGCATTCCTGGAGATGTCTGATTTGGCCACAGTGACATGCGGATTTGTTCCTTTCCCCTTTTGATTAATGTAACGGGCTCTACACTTTGAAAAGCGTTCAGAAACTTCAGCTGGCTCGAAGAGCAGCAGCCAGATTGCTGAGCAGGGCTGGTTATAGGAAGCACATGACTCCCTCATTAGAACAGGCTACTGGTCTGTTTCCAGGATCAATTCAAAGTGCCTGGAACTTTGACCTATAAAGCCCTACACAGCTAAGCTCCATGCTATCTGAAAGATTGTATTCCCTTATTTGAACCTGCCCAGGTTTTCAGGGGATGCCCTTCTCTTGGTCCCACCACCCTCACAGTCAAGCTTGGTAGGGGTGTCAGAAAGGGCCTTTGGAATTTGCAACTCCCTCCCTAGAGAAGCCAGACTGGCTCCCTCCTTGTTCTCCATCCACCGGCAAGTGAAGACTGTCTTGTTCCAGCAGGGAGATTGGCTGCTTTTAGTTAAAGGGGTGATGCCATGCTGTTTTTATTGTAATTATTTGTATGTTTTAAACAGATTTTATATACGTAGATAGTTTCAATTCTATCAATGTTTACTTGTTTTAAAATTATTGATTTGTCTGTGTTTTTAGCTGTGTTCTTTTTTATCTGTTAGCCACCATGAGTTCACATCAGGGAAAAAGGCGAGGTATAAATAAATATATATATAATGATAATTGCTCTTCTGATGTTTTTTTACTTTTTTAACAGATAATTTTAATTCACTGAATTTCTGCATTATTTCATATTGTGAATCACTTTGTTATTGCTGCAATGAAAATCGGCACGTATTTAAAAATAAAATGAAATAATTAATACAAAGCACATTTGACCTCAGTAGTGCCTTGCAAACAATTCCTCCTCTTGCATTTTATATGAAACTGCTCTTCAGTACCTATTGTGCTATATTGCTCAACAACTTAATTTCCCCGTTTTTTATTACTGAATGACCTTCAGTAAAGTTCAAAAACTTATCACCCCTACCAACACAGAATCCCATCTGATTACTTAAGGACAGCTCTGAATAATTTGACTATGATTATGTGGTTGTTTTCTATGTTTCTCAAAATATGTCCCAATGTGAAGAGTAACACAGATTAATCATGAGAACTAGTAAATTCTCACACCAATTATGAGCATTGGTAATTCCAACAGCCTGAAGTAATTCCAACAGCCCCTTGTTCTGAAGTTAATGTGGAGTTGATCAACCTTCCATTCCCAAGTCAAATCAAAGCATACTCACCTCCACCGTAGGTAGCAGCCAACATAATTGAAGACACCCATGCAATCTCACTGTATGATGTGCCAAAGAAATCTTGGATTTCTTTGAAGAAGATTGCTATGCCTTTGGGGAAAGCATATGAAAATCCAATGGATATGAATGCTCCAAAGACCACTGCCCATCCCCATCCTCCATCTGGAGGGTATGGGCTTGGCTTGTGTCTGCTGGAAGTGGCATGTCAAGGTTAAGTTAATTCCCTGTAATTCCCTTTTTTTTTCTGGAAGCCCTGAAAAACAAAGTGCACACTCACAGTCTTTTATCAGATTCCCACATATAGTTAACTCAACTCTCACACACATTATTACCCAATCTCCCTTTCTCATTCATCTTGGTCTTATTATTATTATTATTATTAAATAAATAAATCAAGAGGCACAACAGGTATTTCTGGAAATCTTATCTTAGGAAACATTTACCTGCCTATGCTTGTCAGGCTTCTTTCACTGGAGTTTGTTGACAAACATGGATGGGATGGGATCTCACTCTTACCTCTTTCCACGGTACAGCCAACACCCACATTATCAAACTGATGATTATGATTTCTAAGAAAATGAATTATTTATATGTGGGTTGATGTGTTACAATCTTGGTAATGTTATTGCTCTTTTAATGTTATTTACTCCCAAAGGAGCCCAGGGTGGCAAACACAAATAATTTTTTTTTAAAAAAAAAAACATCTGCAATAGTTACAAACTGTGAAAGAAGCTTCTACAGTCATACCTCAGATCTCAAACGCCTTGACTCCCGAACAAATCAGCTCCTGAACGATCAAATCCCAGAAGTGTTCTGGTTTTTGAACAATTTTCAGACGCCAAACGTCGGAAGCGTGGCTTCCGATTGGCTGCAGGGCTGTGCTTTGGTTTTCAAATGGTTTCAGGAGTCGAACAGACTCCCAGAACACATTCTGTTAGAGAACCAAGGTACAGCTGTATTTTAAAAGCTTGTTGGAAGAAGGTCTTCACTACATGCTGAAAAAACAACTTAGATGGCACCTGTCTAATATTTAATGGGAGGGAATCCCAAAGAGTAGATGCCACAACGCTAAAGGCCTAATTTATATATAGTGCAAAACACAACTCTTGTTCTTATTATGTATTTGGTGTTCTATTTTGTACTTTTATGCTGCGATCCAGTCTGAGCCATAAATGGGCTGAGTATCTTTAAGGACTGCCTACCCTACTTTGAGGCTGTCCAACCATTAAGGACCTCATTGGGTTCTGGGTGCTTCCAACTGGGTAGCTAATGGAGAGAGGCACCTTTTCTATGATGGCACCTCATCTGTGGAAATCCATCTTTGTAAAATCTACTTGGACTCTATTCAGGCACCAGGTTTTTGTTTTTGTTTTTTAAAAAATGTTATATCCCTAGGGCTTTAATTGTGATTTTTAAAATGAAGTTTCCTCTTCTTTTTAATCTGCTGATGACTATTGTATTGGATGATTTAGAACTGGTTTTTGTATACTGTTACTGATTTTAAAAGAAACAGTAGCAAGCCACCTCAAAAGCTACCGTTGGTAGGCAAGATATAAATATTTAAAGCAAATTTCAAGCTGTACTTTGAACTTAAGCTAATGGCAAAATCGGGGTTGATTTGAGTGCCTTCAGATTCCTTTTTTTATTTTCCACCCATAAAGCCCATAGAAGTTAATTCTAGATTCCTGCAGGCAACTTACTAGCTGGCTTGCCTTTTCTATATGAGCATCAAGGTTGTTGTTTTTTTAAAACATCCCTTTAAAGTAATTAACTTCAGAGGCAGTTATTACTTAAGACCAGAAGCCATGTTAAAACCAGTTCTTTGTCTCTAGGAACTCTTCTTGAACAAAGGTAGCCAACTAAAGCTGTAAACTGAGGCAGGAATCTGATACAATCTATTCAGCTTTTCCCAAGCGTTGCTTCAACTGTTTTTTTGTTTTCTCACACACTCATGGCATATGTCAATCAGAGGAAGGCCTCATATGATTTTATTCTACTAAATACATTAAGCCAACCATGTTATTTCTGGCCCTGTGTCCTGAGCTGCCATTGTTTGGGAAGGAGACCAATACACAATCTTCTCTGCAAGGAATGCAGATGCATACAGAAAATACCTTGCACAGCACATTTACGTAGGACATGGTCCCTTCACATGTGAATTAATACATACAAAATGCATGTGTGTGTTTTCTCTGTATTTTAGACTTGTATGAGGCAGCGTGCAGATTGCAGTTAAAGCACACACATATTACCATGCTGCATCTCACAGAATAGGCAAGCTGCACATCAGACCCTGCTTTCATACCTCAAAAAAACCTGCCCCAAATGGCTTAATATGTCCTTTTGTGGCATTGATGTAGAATAGGAGGGAGAGAGGATATACACAATTCAGGCAGGGGAAGCGAGTGGCCTCCTTTAACATGTGACTGCCCTTAACATGATGTGTGCATACTGTCAATTTAACCTCAACGTTTTTTATATCTTGCAGGAATGCTGGGCAGTAAATGAGTCACACAGCTGGCCACCAAAGCTCAAGCGGCAACTGAATTTCCAAATTCACGCTGCAAGAGGGGGGCTGGAGGGCCTTGTAAGCGTCCGCGCAGGATTCCTGCTTCTATACGAACCGGGCCAGCAACAGCTGCTACGTATAAATGCAAAAATATTAAATTTCTCAAGCTTCCCCGATATCCGAGGCGGATAAATAGCGCGCGCGCGACGCCCTCCCCACCAGACACACGAAAGCAGACACGCTGGCATACGGCGCGCATGCAGCACCGTCCACTATCCACACGAGCGCACTCCTCGAAGTTTCCCTCTTTGCTACCCAAACTCCCGAAGAAGTTTGGCGCGCTTTCTCCGTCCGGGGCTCGGCGCCTTCGCCTGCGGAGCCTGGGGCGGCGCTGCTCTTCTTACCTTGTGCTCCCTCCGGGTCGCCCGGCGTCAGCCCCCGAGTGCACGCGGCGCCTCGGAGCAGCCTCGCGGGAGGGAAGCGAGGAGGAGCCAGGGCGGGAAGCCACGGGGAGGCGTGGTGCCCGTGTGCGGGGGGAAGCGGGTCTTCCCCCTCCGCCGGGCCAGTGACGCGCGCGGAAAGGCGCCTCGGAGCGAAAGCCGGGCTTCGGGGTCGCGCGCAGCCTCGGCCCCTTTTCCTCGCTCGCTCGGGCGGGATTTTTGTCAGAGCGTAAACCTGAGCGGGGATCCCGCACCCCGAACCTGCCTGTGGAAGTGGCTCGCCGTGGCTTCCAGCGCTGCCCTTTCGCCTCGAGAGGAAAAGTACAGAAAGGGAGGTGCTTCGTGGTAGCTTCATTCGCAGCTTTCAAACCGTGGCAGCTTCTCCCGCGCAGGCATTCCCTAGAAATGATCCCTGATAGTTAACCCGCGCTATTTTGTGAGGCTTTGGCAGGTTCTAACTAAAGGGGCAGGAACCCTGTCCTCCCTTGAATCTGGCCTCCCTATTGGGGGAGGGGGACTATTGGGTTGTTTTTATTTTTATTATGTATTTTGTGGATTTTATCTTGATTTCATTCTGTGAATAAATTGAATTTATATACCGCCCTATACCCGGGGGTCTCAGGGCCATAGCTGTCAACGTTTCCCTTTTTCTTTTTTCTTTTTTTTTTTTTTAAATGCTTTTTATTGTATTTTCATCATCATACACATCTACAAAAACAAAGCCTAAAAAATAACATTCAACAGTAAGAAAATGTTACAAAAAGAAAAAAGAGAAAAGAATAGAAGTAAAGAAAAAAGCAAGCAAAAAACAAAACAAAGCACATACAACAATTTGTTAAAACCGACTTCCTTCCCTCTTGATTTCAGATGCCTACTTTTAATAGTTTCATCTTACAGCTGGTGTTGGTTTTTAGTTTATAACATCAGAAGATTTAAATCAAACCTACTGTAGTTGGTAGGTTACTAAAATAGCCTTCGATATATACCATAAATTTGTTCCAATCCTCTTTTAACTTTGTATTTTTTTGATTTCTTAATCTTTGCGTCAATCTTGCCAATTCTATAAATTCATATAGTTTCAGTTGCCAGTCTTTCAGTGTTGGTAAAGTTGGGTTTTTCCAATTTTGGGCAATAAGTATTCTAGCCGCAGCTGTCGCATATTGGAACAGGGTTTTATCTTTTTCCGGTATTTCTTTTCCAACCATCCCTAGCAAAAAGGCCTCTGGTTTTTTGGGGAACGTGTAGCTAAATATTTTTTTTAATTCATCATATATCTGGTTCCAAAATCTTTTAATTCCCTCACATAACCACCACATATGTATAAAGTTCCCCTCATTTGTTTTACATCTCCAGCAGGCCTTGTTGCCAGTCTTGTACATTCTATTTAATTTTTCTGGTGTTAAATACCATCTATATATCATCTTCTCCAAGTTTTCTCTAATTGCCGCACTTGCAGTAAATTTTATCCCCTCGTTCCATAATTTCGACCATTTCTCCTGTTCTATGTTGTATCCCAAATCTCTTGCCCACTTTACTGTAACTTCTTTAATTTCTACCTCTTTTGTATCGGCTTCCAGTAAGATATTATACATTTTAGATAATAACTTAGATTTGCTTTCGATTATTTCTATCTGAAATTTTGATTTTTTCCCGTTCATTCCTACTTTCCTATCTTCCGTCCATCTTGCATTAATCTGGTGGTATTGAAACCAGTCCTTCAATTTTTCCTTCAGCTCCTCAAACGGTCTTAGTTTCCAACCTTCATGGGAACTTGTCAATAGATCTTCATAAGTCAAGCCTTGCTCTTCCGTATTTGTTTTTTTGAATGATAGGATATCTGTGGGGGACAGCCACCAGGGTGTTTTTGGTTCTAACAGATTTTTATTTCTTTTCCAGACTTCATAAAGAGGGCCTCTAATTATGTGACTCGAGAACCCCTTATGTACTTTCTCTTTATCTAGCCACAGGTAGGCATGCCAGCCATACCTGTTATCCACACCTTCTAGGTCTAATAAATCCGCTTCTTCCAGGGTTATCCAATCTTTCACCCAACATAAGCAGGCAGCTTCGTAATATAATTTTAGGTTGGGTACCGCCAGCCCTCCTCTCTCCTTTCGATCTGTAAGTAATTTGTATCTTATCCTTGGCCTTCTACCCTGCCATATAAATCTTGAGAGTACTTTCTGCCAATCTTTAAATATTTTATTCCCTCTGATCACCGGGATGCTCTGAAAGAGAAACAACATCCTAGGAAGAATATTCATTTTTATTGCCTCCATCCTACCAAGCCATGAAAGGTTAACTCTGCTCCATATATCCAGGTCTTTTTTAATTTTGTTCCAGGTCGTTGTGTAGTTATCCTCAATCAGATTTATATTTTTAGGTGAGAGCCAGACACCTAGGTACTTTATTTTTTTAGACACTTTAATTCCGTGTTGGCTCTCTAATTTTTCTTTTAAATCATTTCTCAAATTCTTTGCTAATATTTTGGTTTTTAGTCTGTTCAGTTTAAATCCAGCTAGTCTGCCATATTCTTCTAGTATTTCCAGCGCCTTCTCGATACTCTTTAGCGGCTCTTCTAAGGATAACATCAAGTCGTCCGCGTAAGCTTTTAATTTAAACTCCCTAGATCCCATTTTAATCCCTCTGATCTCAGACGTTGATCTTATTTTATTTGCTAAGACTTCTAGGACCATAATGAATAAAAGCGGGGAGAGAGGACAACCTTGTCTGGTTCCTTTTTCAATTTGGAATGTATTTGTAAGATTATTGTTTATCACCAGTTTGGCTGATTGGTTGGAGTATATTGCCTGTATTCCTTTCCAAAATTCTCCCTTTATCCCTGCTTCTTCCATAGTTTTTAATAGAAACGGCCAAGAGACGTTGTCAAACGCCTTCTCGGCATCTATGAAAATCAGGGCCGCTGGTATATTGTTATTGATTTCCAGATATTCAATTAAATTTATAGTGTGTCTCACATTATCTTTCAAATATCTATTTGGTAGGAAGCCTGCTTGGTCTTTGTGAATTAGGCTTGACAGGCATTTTTTTAATCTATTTGCCATAATGTCGGCGAAGATTTTATAATCGTTATTCAATAAGGATATCGGCCTGTAGTTCTTAATACTCATTTTATCCGTATCTGGTTTTAGAATTAATGTTATGTAGGCTTCCCTCCATGACTCAGGGATTTTCCCTCCTTTTAAGATATTGTTCATAGTGTCGCAGAGCGCCGGGAATAGTTGGTTTCCTAGAACTTTATAATATTTAGCCGAAAGGCCGTCTGGGCCAGGAGCTTTCCCTATTTTCATTTTTTTTATAGCATTTTGGACCTCTTCTATGCTAATAGGCTTGTTTAGTTGTAGTCTTTCTTCCTCTGTAATTATCTTCCCTTTATGTCTCTTTAAATATCTTTCTATTTGTGTTGTGTCCTCTTCTCCCCTCTTATATAGTTCCTCGTAAAACTCGAGAAACTTTTTTTGTATTCTTGTTGGGTCAACTATCAGTTCTTCCTCTACCTTTATTTTGTTTATCGTATTCTGTTTCTGCCTTTTCCTCAACTGCCAAGCTAAAAATTTCCCTGTTTTGTTTGCTGACTCAAAATATCTTTGTTTCATTAATTTGATTTTCCATTCTATTTCTTGGCTTCGTCAGCATCGAATATTGTGTTTGTAGTAATTTTATTGCTCGGCTACTTTGTTCATCTTTCGGGTGGTCTACTAGTTTTTTCTCGTACCCTCTTAACTGCTTAAGTATTTCTTCCAACTTCTGCTTTCTTATCTTCCTCTTAAGATTATTTTGCTGGATAAATAACCCTCTTATTACCGCCTTGCTGGCGTCCCAAATTACTTCTATGTTTGTTCCTATATTCGTATTCAACTCAAAGTACTCCTTTAAGGTGATTTTGGCCTTTTCAACAACATCGTCATTCTCTAATAGATATTCATTTAGTCTCCATCTGAAGCCTCCCTGTGATGCTCCCTTAATTTCCAATGTTATTAGGCTATGATCTGAGAGCGTCCTTGGGTATATTTCACATCTTATTGCTCTTAGGGTGAGTGTTCTCGAGGTCCAGATTTGGTCTATTCTGCCCCAGCTTTTGTGTACTTCGGAAAAAAAAGTAAATTGTCTTTCTGTTGGATGTTTATGTCTCCATATATCTATCAAGTCTAGATTTTCTTCCAGATTTTGAAATGATTTCGGTAACTTTCCTTGATTTCGTTTTTTATTTTCCGTTTGTCTATCAATATCTGGTAATGGCACGGCATTAAAATCTCCTAATAATATTGTCTTATTATCATCTAGGTCTAGTAGGACTTGTTCTAATTTCTGAAAGAACTCCGGTCTGTTTGTATTTGGGGCATAGATGTTAACTACATTAATCTTTTCTCCCTGAAAGTTAATTTGCACCCCTAGTACCCTCCCCTCATCATCCTTATATATCATTTTTGGTTCCCATTTTTCCTTGACATATATTGCTACTCCTTTTTTTTTCTCTTCCGTAGAGTTTATAAATTCCATACCCAGGTATTTGTTTGTTAAGACATGTTTGTGCTTTTTGGCTACGTGAGTTTCTTGAATACCAATTACATCCAATTTTTCTTTTTTCAAAACATTTGCGATTTTATTCCTTTTGGCTTTTTCGTTCAATCCGTTAACATTCCACGTTGCAATTTTAAGGTTCATTGTCGTTTTTATCTACTGATAAGTAAGTCAGTACCCTCCTACTTTAGGTTTTACCGAATTAAATTCGAGTGGTTTTGTCTTCTATTTGTTCCTCGACCTCTTCCTCCTCCCCCTCTTCCCCTTCCTCTCCCTCGCCCTCCTCTCCCCCTCCCCCTACTCCTCCCCCCCCTCCAATCTTTCCCTCAGCCTCCCCCCTCCTCTTCCTTCTCTCTCCCCATCCTTCTCTCCATCTCTTTCCTCTAATCCCCCGAGGTCCTTTTCGTATCTACGTAGGAATTTACTTACTTCTTGGTTTTCGGTTATCTTAAATCTCTTCCCTTTGTAAAAAAAGGAAATCCCTTCTGGGAATTCCCATCTGTGTTGTA